AGTATAGTATGATGAAAAATCTCATTGTATAGCATGTCCAAAAATGTCATAGTATAGTATGATATAAAATGTCATAGTATAGTATGATATAAATGTTTAAGTATAGTATGATGTAAAATCTCATCGTATAGTATCTTCAAATATGGCATAGTATAGTATGATATAAAATGTCATAGTACAGTATGATATAAAAAGTCATAGTATAGTATGATGTAAAATGTCATCATTTAGCATGTCCAAAAATGTCATAGTATAGTATGATAAAAATGTCATAGGATAGTATGATGTTGAATCTCATTGTATATTATCTTCAAAAATGTCATAGTATAGTATGACAAAAATGTCAAAGTATAGTATGATGAAAATGTCATAGTATAGTATGATATGAAAAGTCAAAGTATAGTATGATGAAAAATGTCATTGTATAGCATGTCCAAAATTGTCTTAGTATAGTATGATATAAAATGTCATAGGATAGTATGATGTAGAATCTAATTGTATAGTATCTTCAAAAATCGCATAGTATAGTATGACAAAAATGTCATAGTATAGTATGATATAAAATGTCATAGTATAGTATGATATGAAAAGTCATAGTGTAGTATGATAAAAAATGTCATTGTATAGCATGTCCAAAATTGTCCTAGTATAGTATGATATAAAATGTCATAGTATAGTATGACTAAAATGTCATAGTATAGTATCATGAAAAGTCATAGTATAGTATGACTAAAATGTCATAGTATAGTATCATGAAAAGTCATAGTATAGTATGATGTAAAATCTCATCGTATAGTATCTTCAAATATGGCATAGTATAGTATGATATAAAATGTCATAGTACAGTATGATATAAAAAGTCATAGCATAGTATGATGTAAAATGTCATCGTTTAGCATGTCCAAAAATGTCATAGTATAGTATGATAAAAATGTCATAGTACAGTATGATAAAAAATGTCATAGTACAGTATGATAAAAAATGTCACGGTGAAGTATGATTAAAAATGTCAGAGTATATCAAATATCAAGTGTCATAGTTGAGTATGATATAAAATGTCTATCTGTACTATTAGATAAAGTTCTATGTCTTGCTGTTGGCCTAATGGTTTAGCACGACACCCACAAGAACATCCGCCCCTGGTGATCGTGGGTTCAAATCCCGCCCTGACCATTTGCTGCATATTAAAAAATATCACAGTTCAGTATGTAAAGATCTAAAAGTAGAGTACGATAGATGTCACAGTATGTATGTTTAAAAACTTGTCAAGGTATAGTATGATATGAAAAGTCATAGTATGATATGAAAAGTCGTAGTATAGTATGATGTAAAATCTCATCGTATAGTATATTTAAATATGTCATAGTAAAGTATAATAAAAATGTCATAGTATAGTATGACAAAAATGTCAAAGTATAGTATGATGAAAATGTCATAGTATAGTGTGATAAAAATGTCATAGTATAGTATGATGAAGAATCTCATCGTTTAGTATCTTCAAATATGGCATAGTATAGTATGATTTAAAATGTCATAGTAAAGTATGTTAAAAAATATAAGTTAGTATAATATAAAACGTCATAGTATAGTATGATATAAAATGTATGATTTGAAAAGTCATAGTATAGTGTGATGTAAAATGTCATATAACATGTCCAAAAATGTCATAGTATAGTATGATAAAAAATGTCACGGTGAAGTATGATTTAAAATGTCAAAGTATATCAGATATCAAATGTCATAGTTCAGTATGATATAAAATTTCTATCTGTATTATAAGATAAAGTTTTATGTCTTGCTGTTGGCCTAATGGTTTAGCACGACACCCACAAGAACATCGGCATCTGGTGATCGTGGGTTCAAATCCCGCCCCAACCATTTGCTGCATATGAAAAAATATCAAAGTACAGTATGATACAAATGTCATAGTATAGTATGTTTAAAAAATTGTCAAGGTGTAGTATGATATGAGCATCCATAGTATGATATGAAAAGTCATAGTATAGTATGATGTAAAATCTCATCGTATAGTATCTTTAAATATGTCATAGTAAAGTATAATAAAAATGTCATAGTATAGTATGACAAAAATGTCAAAGTATAGCATGATAAAAATGTCATAATATAGTATGATATGAAAAGTCATAGTATAGTATGATGTAAAATGTCATCTTTAGCATGTCCAAAAATGTCATAGTATAGTATGATAAAAATGTCATAGTATAGTATGATGAAGAATCTCATCGTTTAGTATCTTCAAATATGGCATAGAATAGTATGATTTAAAATGTCATAAAGTATGTTAAAAAATATATGTCTGTAAAGTATGTAAAGTATGTTAAAAATATCACAAGTGTAATATAAAACGTCATAGTATAGTATGATATGAAAAGTCATAGTATAGTATGATGAAACACAGTGCTGCAGAGCTTTGCCTCTTTCAGCCCCCAGGTAAGACACACACTCTTACAGTCAGAATGCATGTCATTCTTATTGTGCAAATATATATTATTTAGTGCTGACGCCCCAAGTCCACAGTGTTGACAACCTGCTACACACAGGACGACAAATAAAAGGTCAAAGGTCAATGTTATAGGTATAAATACGCCTGGAGGATGTATCACATTGAGGGTTCACACGTCTTTTAAACACGACTGTCTTAAAGAAGCTGAACTCTTTTACAGCTACTGTGTCAGCGACCAGGTTACTGCCTGACAGAACAAATTCAGGGCAAAAACACCCATTTAGAGTCACTGGCCAAAGTGTGTCAGTGTTTTAGATTATCAAATTATGTCCCCAAACTTTTAATTTCCCTTCTCTGATGACTAATTTCTCCGTTCAGTATGTCATCTCTCTCTCTCTCTCTCTCTCTGTGGACGGATTTAATGGTGCCTTCAGGTGCAGTCTTGTTTTTCATGTTCATAAAAAAGAGTCAACATGACCCAAATACTCTGACAGCTCCCAGTTCACCAGTTATCACATCCTGTGAGTCTGTTAATCGTGTTTGAAGTCACAGTTTGAAATGTTTCACTCTGAATTTATCCGTCAGGATCTACGACTTCTTTCCTGTTTGACTTTCTTCTTCTTCGTCGGAGGAAAGAGAGAAATTAACAGGGTTTATTTTTCAGTCAGAAGACAACATGAACTCTTGTGAACAAAAACATATTTGCACTGAAAGACGGCAGCTGTTGGTTTTTAAGTTGGAGAAATCTGTTAAGCTGGATTCACACTTGACAACTTTACAGCAGATTTACCGCCGACAGTGATCAGATATTCATTCATGACTAATTATTTGACAAATAATCCTCAAATGTCCCTGATCTCAGGTCGTAAAAATCAAACATGTTTACTATAATAAGTTAAAGCTCTTATAAGGAACTTTGAGTTTACATTGACTTTGGCGCCCCTGGAGGACAAAACTGTCTCTGCTTGACCTGTCCTCTTCATACTGAAGCACAAATAAACCTTATCCTGTTGACTCTGATGATCAAGTGAAACATTTACCGTGAATATTTCATGGAAATCCTCAATCTGAATCATATCTGTACTTGTCTGGTTTGACTTGATTAATGAATCAGGATTCTGCTTAGACACACTTTTGGACGGGTCTTTACGTTCACACAGACACCAGCTGAGTAGAGAGGCTAAATATTTACCATGACCAAACCAGGAAACACGCCGTTTCACTTTTATATCTCCGTTATGTCGTATTAAGACTTAACGCCACAACGGTCCAACATCTGCAGACGGGACAGAAGCTCGACCGTGTTTAACGGCTGCTGAACTCCAGAGTTTAACCCGAACTTTACAGATTTCTGCAGCTTTGAAATCTTTTTTTCTGAGGAGACGTGGGTTAGACACAAACACACACACACACACACACACACACACACACACACACACACACACTGCAAACAGTGCAGCTCATATTGTTTCATTTCAGCTGAGAGCAGAAAACTAATTTCTCAGCTTTCCCCCTCCAACAGTTATTGGATGAATTCTCTGTGAGGATTTCTGCTGAAGCCTCCGACTCATCTCACAGAGAGAGAGAGAGAGAGAGAGAGAGAGAGAGAGACCTGCCGGGAACACCACACCCAATCTCTCTCTGTGAGTGTGTGTGTGTTTTCTTCCATCTCTGCGAGAATCAATATCAGTCGTGAGCTGAGGAGGGAGTCGACTCGCAGGAGGAGGAGAGGATGTTTTGTTGAAAGTGAGGATATTTTTTGTAGATAGAGGACACTTTTGAAGCCGTAAAGATTTCTGGGAAGTGGGACATTGTGTAAAATTCTGGGGTGGAGACGTGTTTGGAGAGGCAGGGACGTTTGTGGAAATTGGAGAATATTTTGAGAAAAAGAGGAGGAGATGTTCAGGTACATTTCAGAGGAAAACGTTTAGTCTGCCGCTCTGTCGCAAACTCAGACAGTGACGTCTGATTGACAGACTTATTTATGACGGCAAATTCACTGCGAAACCTTCGTCACTGTTAATGTTCTTTCACATAATAACTGTTGATCCTGTTAAAGGTCATCCTTCCTCGTGTTTTAGTTATCTAATCCTTCAGGGTTTTGTCGGTTTGAGTCTGCTGGTTTTTTAAAGGGTGTGTCCTCATTCTTTGACCAACTTCAGCCTCTGAGTTTGAGTCAAAAGCGCTGAAGGAAACAACGTTTTTAAATCCCATCAGAGCCGAACAGGAGGTGAGAATCAGCCTGAACCTGCTGCTTCCTTTCTGTTTATTTATTTTTTAATAGTTAAAATCTTGTCGTCGATAGTTTTCAGGTCACTCAGTCCGCTGATGAGGAAGAGGATCCAGGTGTTTGTGGTTCAGGTGAACTCTTTCTCAGTTCTCACAGCTTCATGCTCTCACACATCCGACATGAGAAACTCACATCTCTGCAGCGTTTCACAACTTCCTCACCTGTGAACTTTCCGTCGGTTCTCACTTGCAGCTTGAAATCGACTTTTCCCCCTCCTCGTATACTTCCTATTTATACATCTTTGGTTGTGATTGCCATCATCGTGTAGGAGGTGGAGGGGAAGGGGGAGCGTCAGGTTGTGGAGTGTTAAACCCCCTGTGGTCCGTCTGGAGGACAGAGCAGAAATTAAAGTCTCGCTAATTAGCAAGCGATAAAAATAGTTGTGGAGAAACGGTCGGATGTGGATCACGGTTTGCACTTCAGCCTGGTTCTGACACGGCGGAGCTGCTTCAGTTAGAGAGAGATCAAAACAAATTCATCCAAAGTGTGAGAATTAAAAAAAGCAGCACGCAGCAGGAGAGAGGGAAGAAGTTTAACACGTCTGAAACACATCTGATACCAACACCGTCTGAAGATTTCCAATCAAACCAGTGACAGAAGAAGGACCTTTTTACCTCCTTTAAATACTCCGTTTATGTTCAAAAAGTCACGCCTGATGGTGCAGATCAGAAATATTCTGTTTATTTTACAGGGAAATCTGATCTGCTGTTGCTTTTAAATACAATAAAGTGATAAAGAATATAAAACATGAGATAGAAGTAAAAATGCAAGTTAGAAATAAAAGACAGCAGAAAGTTCAGACAACTGGAAGAGCAAAAAAATATTCAAAAGTGCAGAAACTGATGAACTTATTGAGACATTTTCAATATTTATGACAAATTAGGAGGAAAATTCGGAGGTTTGTGACATTCTGGTTTTCTCCAGGAGAATTTTCATCCCAGAAAACCAGAAAAAAAAAGGTTTTCACTCGACGACAAAGAGAGAAAATAAGATAAAAATCAGTCTGCACAGAAGAGTCATCAAACTAAGGAGTTTGTGTTGCTTTAACAACAGAAGAATCGAGAAGCTGTGGGTGTTTTTGTGACATTTTTTTTTGATGATTATTACACAAAAACTGAAAAGTGTTGCAAGTCCAAACGAAATCTGTACGAGGATCAAAATGGCGCACGGATCCAGGGCTCACTCTCGGGTGTTAAAGTGAGTATAACCCTGAAAATGGGGATGAAAAAACAGTCTGGATCAAAGTCGACAAAGGAAGACGCTCTCATAGAGTTTGATCAACGATAAAGTTTGAAGATTCATCAGGATTCAGTCAAAGACGCTCCTGTTTAGTTTGGAAAAGTCGACGCTGCAGCGAGAATGAAGCGACACAAACACGTTTTCTCGTCCTTAAAGAAAAGAGGAAAACATTTATATTGACTTTGAATCCATGAAGCATAAAGAAACAGATTTATTTAAAAAGCTTCACTTGATATTTCCAAAGCGGATTTTCACACTGATGCACTTTAACAAACTGTTTATGTTGCTTTTCCTGCAAATGTCGCAGAAAACATGTTTTTAAAGGTGCGGTGTGTAAAAACGGAAATATTCAGCAGTTGGACAGATTTATGTTAAATCTGATTCTGCATTTGGAAAGATTTAACCACCAAAAATGAGTTTCATTGTATCATTTATTTATTTATAGTTTTTGCATAAAACAACCTCTACTTTTATTTCTCTTGTCTTCATTTTATGCGTCAATTCACCGAATCCAAAAACAGCCGTGACACGAGTTTGGAAATTCTGCTCTACCGTAGAAACACGGTGGTGGAAGACGACGACGACCTCTGCTCTCTACACTTATTTAAAATTCTTGGAGGTGAAGTTAAAACATTATACTTCATACGTGTTTAAATACTTCTACAGATAAAAAAGTCTCCATGTTGAACCTTGAACTGATTTTTACTTTGATTATAAAACGACTTTAAAAGTAAATAGAAAAGTTCATTTTGTTTTAACAACTGAAGAGTCGATGCAACAAACTGCATGTGAACCTGCAGATGTTTGTGACGTCGTAATATTATCATTTATTATTGTTAATTATTTAATTAATTTATTAGCATTAAAGACAAAAACTGATGAACATTTATAATAAAGAAACCACGACAACGGGCATCAACATGAAAAATATAATGTTAACAAAAAATAAAGGTGAGCGTAAACAGACCTGAACTTTGACCCAAATTGTTCCAGATCAACATTTTCTGTAGTTTTTATTTTAAAAAACCTTTCTGATTTTTTATCCTTTTTCATACATTCAATGTTTTTTTAATGCTTCAGTCTTATCTGATAGATTGTTTTTTATAACGCTGCAGGTTTTAGGGATAAGACGCCTTCAGATACTCAAAGATATGACATCTTATGAGGTTAAAATACAGACGTCTGCAGCAGCAGCAGAAGAGGATTTACGTGTCGGTGAGGTCGCTATAATAACGGTTCAGATTCTCACCAAAACAGTAATGCATTAGGGTAAAACACGCTTAAACCCCGCTGTAATCCAGCGCGCGTTATTGTCCTCTGCTCGTATTGTTTGAGCGTCCTGTCGTATTATTGAAACATAATGTGGAGCTGCAGATAAATCTGTACAAACAGGTTGATTTCGATCACAAACAGCTGAATAATCTCCTCCATTAGCCCGCGCTTTATCTTCCTCACAGAGTGATTTCCAGGAGTGCACACTTTGCGTAAACGACTTGTAGATTTTTTCTTTTTTTTTTACAGCGTTCATCCGTCTCTCCTCTCGGGGGGATTTGCAGATAAAACATCGTCATCGTGTGCATCAAACTGACTGAAGGGCCTGCAGAGACTTCTTGTCAACAGATTAGGAATCACTCCAAGTGAATTGTCCTCGTCATTAATATGTGCATAACATGATGGAGAGGCTGCTGCTGCCGCTGATGAACAATGAGGCTGTTTCATCTTCAGCTGAGTGCGGCTCTGATGAATATTCAGACGGGGGGGAAACTCGTCTTTAAACGGTACACACTGAGCCTCTTAGCTAAATCAGCAGCCGCTCCTTTATTAACATTCTGGAATTTGTAATTATGCCCCGTCGCATCCCAGCTTTACACAACACGACTGCAAAAGATACAACAAAAGGAAAAGGACTGATGTTGTGTGATTAGAGCTACACAAGGAGAACAGAGTCACTGTAAATACTCCGCAGCATGCAGTGTCGGCGTTTGAACAACATGCAAACACGGAGAGAAGATCTTCATTTCCTCCTCGAGGTTTTACAGCAGAGACTAAATCTTGTTTTTGGCACTGAGCTCCAGCCTGCACAGTCCCTTATAGCTGCTGTTTTCAACCTTTTCGGCCCGTGAACCCTTAAAAATAAATCACAGTCTTCACCGCCAGCAATTCTTCATCGCAGGAGTCTTGCTGTGTTTTGGGGGCTGCAACCATTTCAGTCAGAGAGTTATTTTTCTTTCAAACTACTTCACAAAAAAAAAAAAGGAACAGCACAAAGAAGAATAAGTATGTTTTTTTCCCTCTTTATCATCACACAGCTCTGCAGACTTTTCTGGAAAACCCCTAATGGGAGTTGCAAGCTCAGAACTCACAACTTCAGTCTGCGAACAAAAAAGACACGTACGAAGAGAACGAGTGAAAGGTCAGTTTTTCAGCGTTTATAAAACGGTTCATCTATAAAGGCCAGAGAGGTAAAAAAAAAGTTTTGTTCCTAACAAGTTTCGGCCATCTCAGGTGGGACGAGAAATAACTCATCACAGACGACGTCACGCCGACGCCACGTGAACCTCTGATGAGGCTGCAGAGGGAAGGGAGGCGGAAAAATGTTTTTTACTTTTCTGTCCTTTAGAGACAAACTGTTTTATAAATTTATCATCGACCGGCCGAATGAACCTCTTTAGTTTTTCACCTCAGGTCACGGTCGTCAGAGTTCGAACATCAAATTAACTTCAGAACTTTCACTTTGGTCACCTACAGGTAATGGATGTGATGCACTAGGTTTCCTGTCAGTCAATTAACAATCAACATGAGAGAGCCAATGAGAATGCCTTTTAAGGAAGTGTGGAAATGCACTTCCTGAGGGTGAGCGAGAAAAAAAAAAACAGAGAGAGGAATTAAAAAATAAGATTCATCTTCTCCTGTCAGCGTCGTTGTAACACTCGGTTAAGATCCGGTCACTGTGTGTACATGCAGCTGAGAAAATTACGTGTCCTCCTCCCCAACACTAGGGGGCGATATGGGTCTGTTTCCGACCCCATACAACCGTCAACAACAACAGCAGGTCGGTGTCAGACGTCAGAAGTGTCTACAACTGCTGCTGGACATTTTGGAGAAACAAGAAGATGGAGCATCGTACAGCGTTGTTTTTGTCCGACATGATGGACGCGCTACTTTTTCTAAAGATGAGACCAACGCTACTCCTCTACTCTGGTGGCGTGTCGCACGTGCACATGCATTGTCCGACTACGCTGGTTACATGGTAGAGAAAATCGAATTCTAATCTCATTATCTGAGTGTCTTCATCAGAGTTCTCAAACTCTGATTATAGTCGGACTAAAGTGTTTACATGACCTTCAGTTGTCCGGTCTTAATCGGAATAAGGCGATAATTCGGTTTTCTTGAGTGTCATGGAAACGGACTGACTCCTGTCTCCTGTGGAAAAGTCTGACCTCTGTGTAAAACTCATGGAAGAACCAAGATGAAGAAAATCTTCTTATTCAGTTGTTTGCAGTGAGTCCATCAGTGAAGGAGAAAACCACAGATGTTCTTTCATGAGCTTCACATCCGCATGAAAACTGCACGTTTCTGAAAGGAGCAGAAGTCTCCAAATTACAGTGCCACTATATTTCATATTTTACGGTAATTTTATTTTTGTTTTAATCCATATTCTCAGGTGTTTGACTGTCTTTGCTTCATCTGTGACACTTTTTCTCGAGACTGTCGCAGTGACTCTCCATTTTTCATCTGGAGGAAAATCAGTTCACACTTCAGTAACTTTCATCCCTCTGACACTAAATTTAGATTTGTAAAACAGGATGTTTATTTTATTGTCTGATCTTCTCATGTTCCTCAAAGTCAAATCTAAATTTCTGGATTTTAATCTCGTTTTCTGCTGCAGACTTCGACACCAAGTTTCATTCTCTGGTCAAATATTTCATCCCTCCTCTCTTGAAGAACAGAAATCTTGAATGTTTGAATATTCAGCTGATCTTTTTTGCAGTGTGCAGCAGAGTCAGGCTGCTGCTGCTGCTGCTGAAGATCTGTGGACTGAAGAGATTATCTGGATTTATCAGCTTTGGCCATTTTGCCAGAGATTTTCTTTTTTTTCTCTCTCTGCCGTCAGTTAGATGGAAAACAAACCTGCACGGATAAATTCAAGCAGCGAGTCTTTTTTTTACAAATGCAAGATGACTGGATCAGATTTACCTTCCTGATAGCGGCAGTAAAGAGGATTTGGTTGGAGTGGAGTGCGCGCGGCGCTCGCATGTGTTTGCTGTCATCAGGAACACACAAAAGTGGAGATCTCCAAACAAACATCATGAAGCAGGAAGATAAGACGAGAGCAGAGCAGAGGATTAAACAGATTAAACACTGAAGTCAAACTGTCGGAGCGGCGTGACATCTGCACACACACACACACACACACACACGTGCAGGTCGACGTCGTATTAAACCAAAACAAACAAAGCAACCGCACAAAAATAACCAACGATTAAATAAATTAAATATTCCTTTTTTTTTTTCCTGCTGCAGCTTTAAAGGTTTTGTTATTTTAACTTCTGTCTCTTCATGAAATCCTTCAAATCCTCTGAAATAAAAGCACATTTGGAAAATCTAAAACATTAGAGAAATGGGACAAACTCCATCTGCTGGAAAAGATCATGTGACGTGATTTAAAGCTCGGGAACAGCCGCTAAAAGGACCGTCTGCCGCCAAAGTCCCAAAAGTTCTTTTTTTTACCGGCAGTGAAAAGCTGTTCTCACGCAAACCTCATCATGGAGTCAGATCTCTGTTTTTAGATGTTAAAAGTGTCATTTGTGAAAAGCACGATCACAACAAAAAAACTGTTCTTGCAGCTGCTTTTCACGACCCGTTTTCACGTCTGGATCGAACACAAATATCTATAAATTTAGAGCCAAATAATCAACCAATCAGGACAGAGCTCTGTCCACAGGCTCCTCACTACCTTCATAGTTCATGTTGTCACGGTTCACCAGAAGCTGCAGAGCTCCATCTCTGCTCTATGCAGACGATGTGATCTTCTCGGCGTCGACCTCCAGCCGACATGAGGAGCAGCCGAGTCCACAGAAGTCGGAGTCCGAGGTCGTCTGCCGGTTTGTTGTTGTTGTCGACCACTTTTCCCCTCTGATCTGATCTGATCTGGTTTCTGTTTTGCAGTCCACATCCCCGGACTAACAAGAACCAGCAGCCAGCATGACTGGAGGGTCCACCTCAGATCGAGGCTTTCGAGGGAAGCTGAGGAACAAACGTCAGGGTTACAGAGAGATCTGCTTCTGCACTGTCTACGCCGTCTGCAAGAATGACCTTTGAACTCCAGCCTGTAATCAAAACAATGATCTCCGACCGTTATCATGTGGTCATTTTTTTAGTTAGATGGATAAACGAGCTAACGGCTAACAGACCTGCTGGCTCTGCAGCATCACCGCTCTGGAGTTTACCTCGAGTTTTCTGTAGGTCACAGCTGGGCCCATCACAAACAAGGACAAGAACTGATGGCGCTTTCCAGATCTGAGATTGAGGTCACACCTGGGTAAACAGCATTTGGGTTGTTTGTAAAAAAAAAATAAAGTTAGGAAATATTTTTACGGTTTGCAACACCTAACAAAAAAAAAAGGAAAACAGACCAAGTTTCAGAGAAACTTTCCTCACCGTGTCTGCAGCTGTTTTCTTGGAGGATATCTGACTTCATTTCAGCTGATGGATCTGATGTGGATCTCAGGATTCGGGATCAGATGGATCAAAAAGACAACACACACTTTGATCAGATGCATTTGCCCCTCGGGAAGCTTCACAGTTTAAACAGTCTGTCTGTCTGCGAGAAGTTCAGGCGATCTACGAGAAAAAACTGCAGGAGCCAAAAAACTAAAGTTCTGTTTTCATAAAAACTAAAGTTCTCGTTTCATAAAAACTAAAGTTGTGCTTCTCCACAGCAGAGCCGATCCTTCCTGCAGCTCATTCTGGAAACGTTCGACTTTTCCTCGTCATGCAAACTGTGTTCTCAGAAGTTCCTACATCAGTTCGGACACGAGCGACACGGAGCAGTGAAGCAGTGGAGCTGCACAGTGTGTGTATGTATGTGTGTGTCTGTGTGTGTGTGTGCGTGTGCACATGTGAACTGTGAGTGTGTGTGTGATCGGTCCAGACGGTTTCTGCCTTCCTTCTACCTCAGAGCTGCAGGCGCTGCCCTCGGCGGTCCAGCCCTGTCCAACCACACACACACACACACACACACACACACACACACACACACACACACACACACACACACACACACACACACACACACACAGACTATTGTGCACCATCTTTTTCAGTCCTTCAGTTTTTAAGAAATCAAGTCCTGACTTTAGATAAAACTAGGCTAGCAGCTCGATTTTGGTCTTTGTGCCGATGTTCGGAAAATAAACTCCAGAGTTTAAACAAATTTAGAAATCCTCAACAGAATTTAAACGATAATCTAAACAATTAGCTTAACATTTACTTAAGATTTAAAATCATCTAAATATTCTCCATGATTATCTTTACATTATCTTGATGATTATTTTAACAATTAACTCAACATTTGTTCTAACCATTATTCTAACAACTATCTTCACAGTAATCTTGACGATTATTCTAACAACTATTCCAACGATAATTGTAACGATTTTCTTTATGATTATCTTGACGAATATTCTAACGATTATCTAACGATTATCTAAGTGACTATATTGATGATTATCTTAATGATTAGCTCAACGTTTACTCCAACGATTATCTTAATTATCTTGATGATTATTTTACAATTATCTTAAAGTTTATTCTAACGCTTATCTTAACGTTATCTTGACGATAATTTTAACGATTATCTTCCTGATTATCTTGATCTGTTCTAATGTTTATCTTAACGGTTGTCTTTGTGAATATCTTGACGTTAATCTTCTGTGTCTTTCTTCTCTGACTCTAAACAGCGTATTTCTCAGCCGTTTAAGAGTTTGTTTCCTCGATTCACGGGATGATTGCGGTTTTGAAGGATGCCTAACCTGATGCAGATCTTCACGGTTTTGGGAAAAGTCGGACATGTGTCGGCGTCATCAGGAGGAGTCTGAGGCGGCGCGGCCTTGGACAGTCAAATGAAAGCTGCAGCTCCTGAACTCGGACACAGATTCAGAGTTTGTTAAACTCTGAAGGTGGAAGTTTGTTTGCAGTGACAGAAAACTCTTAGACTTGTGTATAATTACTCTCTATTGGTGCGACTTCATCCATGTTTTCATCCTCAGATGGAGGAGTGAACTACGAGGGTTTGTACCTTTAACTCTTTAACTCACAGTCAGTTTTATCCAAACGGATCTACGATTTCTCCCCAAACTTCCCCGGGATTGAAAAAAGAAACTCTCCACGCTGAGGTGAAAATGTCCATTTTCTCAAACCTCCACTTCTTTCCAAACTCCAGTTCTGCGCAGACAGATGCATAATTGCTTGCCAGCTGTTGTTTTTCGCTGGTGTATTATTCCATGGTGAGCATGTCTTCCAGATTAATCCTTTGTATGTGCTCATACTTGGCAGAAAACGGATTCTGACTGTGAATTTTCTTGGCTGACAGACAAATAAGAGCTCACAGCTTCCTCGCACTGTACTAGCAGTCAGATTATTGACAGCAGCTCCTTCCTCTTTAGTTTCCACTGAGCAGCCGGGCAAAAAAAAAAAAGAGAGAAAGAAAAAGAAACAGCAGCGGCGCCGTTGTTGTCATTTTATGCAGAAAAACAACAACTGCTCTGAAATTAAAATCCTAAACACAGTCCTTTTGACGCAGTAAGAACAGAGCTCTGCAATGACAAAGATGTTTTTCCAATAACCAAGAAAACAACCAACACGAGCTTTTTTATTTTATAGAGGTAAAGCCTGTAGGATAAAAACGCTGAGGTTTCCCCACAGCGTCTTCTGTTTTCATCGGAGTTTCTCTGCGAGTATCTGATGAGGCCCGAGCCGCCCGAACCAAACGTCAGATTTGGACGTTGAAAACCAGACAAACTTAATCAGAGTTTAGAGTAAACAAGGACGAACGGAAGGAGGTCATTAGACTTTAAAAGTGTAATATTTTAATTTAATAAAGATCTCATTAAAGTCTGAATTAGTCTTTGCTTTTTACAGACAAACATCCGGTCAAAGTCACTTTGCCTGCAGCGTTAGCGAAGCGTATTGAGCCTCAATAACACCTGAAATTAAACACACAGGTTCATTATTTTCAACAAGTCCTACAGCCAGTCCGACCAAAGAGGGTTTAGAGTCTCTACTGGACTCATGAGGATCCTTCAGAGTCTGGATAACAGGCGTTAGTCTACATGGAAAACTTTCATACTCTCTCTTTTGTGTCTCTATTTTAATTTGTCCTTTTTTTCAGCAGCTGAACTCAGAGTCTGGTTTTAGAGAAGTGAAAAAACTTCTTCTTCTGTGTTTGTTCAGTTTTTCTTTCAGACAAATAGTCAGCCAAAAAAAATCATTAAATGAGAGTTTCTCAGTTTAAAAACCTGCAGATTCTCTTGGATTTTGTAGAAAATGATCATTTATTAAGTTTAGGAAATGTCAGGGATTACTGTCTACGGCCTGTAAGACAAATAATTCACAAATAAGCTAAAATTTCATCTAATTTTTATAATCAGACTCGAAAAAAGGTGAAGAGGTCTTTAAATATCCTCACTGACAGCAGATCATTCGCTCAGTTCTGAGTGTTTACACCTAAAATTCATGTTTTATACTGAAAGAAGAAACAAAAGGTGAATAAAAAAGATCAGCTGTGACTTTTCCTTTGAACCAAACCGTCTGCTGTCTGATTTTAATCATTTATTTCCAGTTAGGTTTTGTAAAGAATGTTTCCCACAGTCTCATATTTACCTGCAGATGAACACGGACAGGTATTTTTGAGACGAAGGCAGAAAAAAAGTTAATTAAAAGCGGCGCAGTGAGCTTAAAGGTGAACCTTAAAGAAGGGAGGGGGGCTGAGATAATGAAAATAGTCCCTGAACCTGATTTCCTTAATCACTGCATGTCCCTCTTTCTGTTAATTGAAGATAATTATAGGATTTTAATTTTCTTATGTAGGTTAAAGAGGAGAGAGAGTCGGTGGAGGAACCGAGGAGGAGGAGGAGGAGGAGGATGAAGACGAAGAGGCCGACTGAGTCTATTAACGATGAACGCAGACTCGACAAAGACCTGAGAGCCCCAGACCCGGTTTAACATTCGGACTCAGACCTGATTTATGAACGTTAGAGAAACTGGAGGATTTATGAGGTGAAAAATCACAAAATTTTGTCCTTTTCTTTTAGAAAAATAAATTAAAATATAAAAAATCTGAAACAAATCAATTATAGAGAGCGAGGACGGAGCTTTAATCTGTACAGGGTGTTCAAACATTATTATAAATGTGATTTTTTTTAAGGGGAAACTCATGAGTCTGTTTCAAATCAAGTAGAAAAACTAAAACAGTCAAAGTTTTCTTCAAATTTTTAAGGTAAAACACGTAAAAATAAACCTTTAAAACATCAAAATACGACATTTTCTAACAAGTTTGTGTCGTTTAAGAAGAATATTTACTGTCAGCTAACTTTTAGAAAGATTACTCACTCAGCTTGGAGCCGTACCAGGTCGACTGGTTTCCTTCACAAACATGGTTGAAGTTGTTTGATGTTTTCTCACCTCAACAGATAACTCCACCTCCTCACAACTCCTTTTTATCACCGTCTCAGTATCAACTGAGCGTTTACTTCACACCCACCATGTTAAGGTCGGTTTTGACCCGTGTCTTAAATCAGCTGTAAATTAAAAACATTTCTCTATCATCCAGTTTGGTTCTCATCTCTAGGTTACCTTGTTCTGGCTTCATTATCCATGGAAATATTACTTATAGTATTTTTTGTTGTGGTCCTCTGGGCCTTCCTTTGTCAGTTTACCCCTCACACAGACATCTATACTGATCTCACATGTCTGGACATGCCCGACGTTGTTTTATGTGCAGAGAAAAACAAAATGAGAATTGACTAACTCTCACATGATTGAAGGAGGATCTGAGTGTCAGTGTGTTTCCTGTCAGTGCACTTATGATTTCAGTTTTTGCTCTGATTATTAGATTTTGATCCAACCGGGTCAACAGCGACCCTAACATGACAGGTGCCATAATTTTAATAAGAGCATTTTATAATTTTGTCAATTTATTTTTTTAGTTTTATTTTGTTGAAATAGAGGTTCCTGAAAAAGTCAAAGTCTTGATGCAGAAAAAAGCAGATTTAAGTGTTTTTTTAAGCATTTACAATCAAAAACGTGCCAGTACAGGAGGTTTAAGGTACAACGCATGAAAATAATCAAAAATAAACCTTTAAAACATCAAAAATACGTCATTTTCTAACAAGTTTGTTCCATTTAAGAAGAATATTTACTGTCAGCTAACTTTTAGATGGATTACTCACTCTGTACCAGGTCGACAAAGAGAAGACGAGTTTCCTTCTCAAACATGGTTGAAGTTGTTTGATGTTTTCTCACCTCTCCAAATTCTCGACCTCCTCGCTCACTTTCCTTCAGACGAACTCGTTTTTATCACCGTCTCAGTATTTAAGATCAGGTCTCTGTGTTCGCTGATCTCCGTTCTGATTGGCTGTCGTGGCGTCAGTGAATCACTCGAGTTGTTGGATGTCGTGGAGTCAGGGTTTTCTTCATCCTGTTTCCTCTCCATAAAAACTAAAATCTTGATTTTGTTTGAACTTCATAATTGTTCAGTGAGTTTAGTAACAGATCCTCCTCTCCAGACTGAATGAGCAGCTGAACTTCACCACAGTTTCCAAACTGAAGTGTGAGTCTGAGTTCGGCTGTTTTTACTCTCTCTCTCTTTCTTCTGAGCTCATCCGTCCTCCAAACACTCATTCTTTGGCATTTGGACTTGATGAGTTTGTAGGACTGATGATTTTTTTTTTTATCTCTAAAGGAAGATAATGTTCCTGTGATTTCTTCACTTACTGTACTTTCACACTTTGATTCACTGTCTCCTCTTCTCTCTCTCTCTCACTTAATGAATGCTGTTTTATTTCCAGCCTTGACTGAGATCCATGAAAGTCCTTCAGATTTTGACTCTTCGACCAAAAATGTCACATTTCCTTTGACGTTTTCAGAGTTGGTGAATAATCATGAACCGGAGGAACTGATAAAAAAATATAGACGCAGAGTTCCTGAGGAGATGGACACCCTGAGAAATGTCAATGAAATCTGAATCTGATGGTTTCCAAACAGTATAAAACCAAAGGGACCAGGTTTTTGGGGTCATGGAGCTCCAGATGTTTTCAAGTCAGGACCGCATCAGTCCAGTTCCTCAGCTGCAGGATGTGGTTTGGGATCATCTGAAGATCATTGTCTGGATGGACGCAGATGTTGCTCCTAAACCTGGAGATCTTGTTCAGCATTGATGGAGCCTTCACAGATGACATGGTGTCTGGTGATCCCCAGACCATCAGGGGTACGGGTGGACCCGCAGCATCTATGATTTTCAGTTCTATGTTGAAAGGACAACCGGACTGACTTGAGATGTTTCGCCTATGGCTCTGTCTCTGGTGTTCCTGGTTCCATCTGGTCTCCTCTCTCCTGGTTCAGTTCTAACCTCTTTAGTAGACGCAGTGATGACCTGTGTCGATCATTTCTGAAGTGATTCTGAGTCCATGCGGTGATTCCCACTCCAAATTCCTGTCTGTTTTAAATGCCCTGAAGATCAGGACCATCCAGTCCTGGTTTTGGTTTTCTCCAGATCCTCCAGAATCTGACTGAATTTTGGTTGTAGATGTTTCTCCAGTTTTTCTTTTTATTTCAACCATCTTGACATTTTTTGCTTGTGTTGTAGAAAATCCAATTAAAAATGAGCGATTTTATTGTTTCTGAGGGCGTCCTGTCTCGATTTTATCATTCTTTTATTGAAAGTCTTTCAACTTTTTCTCTTTTATCTGCTGGTTTCATGGATTTTCAGTAAAAGACAGAAACAACCTGAACCAGATCGTGAAAGTCTGCTCCAAAATCACCGGAGTAAAGCTGATGGACCTGAGCTCTGTCTGGGAGAAACGAGAGGTTATCATGGACCGGCCTGGACACATCCGACTTTTCTCAGACTTTTCTCTTATGCCCTCTAGGAGGCGCTACTATGCCCCCCCAAGAAGAACAGATAGTTACTCCAACTCCTTTATCCCCTCAGCGATCAGGCTGATAAACGCTGAGATTGGTGGCCTGTGTTGGATTTTGGGGTCTCAGGATTGTTTTAGTTCTTATTTTACTCTTTTGATCACATCGTTTTTTTTATTGCATTTTAGTCATTCCACTGTGAACTTATTGCACATGTATTTATTATCTAGTTATTTATTGATTGCTGATCTGTGGTGCTGACAGGGGAATGTTTGGGCCGTACGCTGCTGCTGTGAATGTCTGATATTTGTCTGTTCCTGATCGTTTAACAACAAGGCGGGTTCCTGTGAAGTGAACTGACCTTAAAGTTATCTAAATCTGAATAATTATGATTGTTCCTGTTTCAAACTTTATCTTTGTACTATCTTCAATTAAACAAGGAAATGATGGGACTTTAGTCGTGGCGTTTCAGAGATGGCGGTTAAGAGAAGGATTCGCCGCTGTCAGACAGAATCGGCGGTTTGAAAGGTTCGGTGTTGAGCAGGTGTCGACTCCCCCGCTCTGAAAGCTTTATTTTCCACTTTCAGGGCTGCTGACTAAACTAATGGCACAAAGCACAACAGTGTACAGCAGCTAAACATCAGAAATGGCTTTCTGATATGTGTGTAATATCTGCTGGTTTGGGACAAAGTGGACGTGTGAGAGAGGTAAAAATAAAAGGCTGAGGCTCTAATAAACCTGCAGACTGTGAGCGCCGCCGCTAATGCTCTGTGTTCCCTCTCCATTACCTCCCAAATATGAAGAAAACTCCAGTATTTGTCTTGGAAATGGACGGCGATGTTTGCGGGAGCACAATCACGGCCTTTTGTGAGCGGGAAAATGGTGCGAGCGCGGTCAATCGGAGCGATTATGAAACGCTGACCGTCTTTTTCTGGCCTTCCTGCTGGGGAGAAGACAAGCCAGAAGAACGGGCGGCGCGTTCGGTAATTTGAGTTTATTTATGTGATGTGTGTCGGTGAGGAGAAAGCAGAGTGCGGCGGCGAAGCGCTGATTGATCTTTCAGAGGCAATCAGGACGAGCAGCGAGCAGAAAATAGGCCGGCGGCGTCTGACGGTTTCATCTGTGAGCGGGATTACCTGAAAGCTTCACCTGTCACAGCGCTCGACCTGATCCTGAGGGGGCAACATCACGTCACAGGTCAGGAGGGACGCCGGCGCTTAACGATGACGTACAGGAGGGATGACGGCGGCGGCGGCGGCGGAGTTTTCCATCCATCGGACGGAGCTGACTCTTTTATTGGAGGTGATGTCACCTGTGTCGGCCACCAAACAGACAGAAATGGTCAATAATCCCGTTTTTTTATTGGATTATTATAAACTGTGCAGCTGCAGGGATCTGACGGAGAAAACTGTTCACGCCGTTTTTTCTCTTTTGCTGCTTTAAAGGGAAAAATTCTTTATTTTGGGTTTAAAAAAGAGTTTCACTTCAATTTATTCGTCTAACAGCTGCTGCACGACTTTTAATGTTTATGTTATTTTATCTGCATTCAGGAGTGAAGATCTCAACAATAAGAAGATCTTTATTTTTCTGATGCATTGGAAGGAAATAAAAAACATATTTATACCTCAAAGGATTTCTGAAGGAAGCAACAAATAAAAACTGTGAACAACCAAACCTTTATAACAAAACTCGAGAGCTGATTTTAACGTGGATCTGCCTCTGACAGGGGGGGAGGAAGTGATCAGAGGTTTGGGTCGAGGGTCAGGGCCACCCGTGTGCTTCTCTGTAGACACACCCCTGCTGATTCATTAATAATAAAAGTGTTTTTTTCTGCCTCATGATCAGAGTTCATGTAAACATCTGTTTTTGTTTTAACATGAACGTCTTAGTGAAGATATGAAGCAGTTCTGATGAGCGATGGGAAGATCGATTCTTTTGACTGAACTGAATCTTCATTAGAATGATTCGTTCAAAAGATTCGTTCACTGAATCAGTCAGTGCGGTACATCAGGGAGTGATCTGCTGCTGAAGTCACGGCGTCGTTCACCGGGTGACTCATATCGTTCATTCGCCAAGTCCTGAAGAGAGAATCACTCCCCCGCCCTGAAAAACTCACAACTTAACTCTGTGTGCCGCTGACGTTCGCATCAAGACGCAAGTGAAACAACATGGCAGCAAGCAGCACGCCGGCTAAACGAGTGCGAGGTGTCGTTCTTTCATATCACAGAGTGACTCAGTGAACGAACTGGTGAATGACGCTACGCCCCTCCCCCCTCTGCCTGCATCAAGTCGTTCGGGAGTCGTTCGTTTCCTCCACAGACTGACTGATGTCGTTCATTCGCTGTGAGCCAATCCCCAGACTCCGCCCGATATCAGGAACCCTCATGTCCATCACAATGACACACACAGTGTGGTGCTGATCTCTAGAAGACACAGGAACCCTCAGCACTAGATCCAAACACACCAGTTTCCTCTCAGCACCGCAGGAACCAAATCCTCCAGACCCAGACCGCCATCAAGCTCTCCATCATGCGCACTCTCCGACACAGACTCACTAAAAAAACACAAAACACAGTCATAGTTCAGTTCTTCATGCTGCATTGTGTACTATATCTGGTTTTTATAGTTTTTTATGCGGCTAAAGGACTCTTTAATCTGATTGGCTGCGCTCTCTTTCATGGTAAACACTGCAGACGTTAGCGCCTGTGCACTTTAATCCTGAGGAAAGAGGAGAATCTGTCCTCTCTCCTCTGAAAACTAAACCCAAACGAGTTGAACTTCTGCTGGAGGTTTTCACAGCGCCCCCTCTCCCTCTCTCTCTCCCTCTCTCTCTCCCTCTCTCTCTCTCTCTCTCTCTCTCTCTCTCCCTCTCTCTCTCCCTCTCTCTCTTTCTCTCTCTCTCTCTCTCCCTCTCTCTCTCTCTGTCCACATCCTGACGAGCCGGCCCTGCGTGAAACCCACAAACACGCTAAAAAAAATACACCAGCACTCATCTTTATCGACCGCGTTTGTGACTCACATGACAGTTGGCGTTTGATGACCAGCAGCGAGTGAGCGTCCAGCTGTCGTGTTTGGAGCGGCGGCGGCGGCGGCGATGTTTTCTCAGAGAAAATAAACGCTGAGTCGGTCCCAGCAGGCCCAGCGTGGCTTAAACAAATATATAAATAAGTAAAACGGCGTGATTCTGTCCAAATCTCCAAACGCGGGCTGAGAGGCCGGCTGCTGCCAGGAGACTCTTCAACTTCTACCGCTTCTTCACTCCTCTGTTCTGTCTCGCTCTTTTTTTAACATCACCAGATCCAAGATGTCAGCCCGGAGTGGAGCGGTGCAGAGCCTCAGAAGCCGCCGCAGGGCCCCGAGCGGGCTGCCTCGCCTCCTTTTTTTTTCCTCCTTCCATTTTATCTTGTGCTCTTTAATTGACTCGCAGTGTGACGAAGGAACAGCGAGCGGCGAGGGAGAGGGAGAGCGCGGGCTGGAGCTGAGAGGAAAGTGATGTTCCTAGATGTGGGAGACAGTTGTGGGAGGGCTGTGATGAAAAAATAATGATGCTAGTTACATTCTATTACACAAAATATGGGAGACGGCGATGAAGTCCTCCTGCAAGAGTCCTCTGCTTAATATCACCATCATCGAGAGCTGCTGCTGCTGCCGCCGCTAGGAATTCTGGGACGGCAGCACACAGCCAGGAGTTGTGTGATTTCCTTCTATGTTTTAATTTATTCTGCGTTTAATGTATTTTTTATATCGTATTTCACCTCGTTATGGATTTTACTCCTCGGTTCTGGGGCTGCGGCGCTCGTTAACAGCATGGGGATGTCATTTTTATGTGCGCTTTCTTATTATCGCTGTTATTACAAATCAACACACACACACACACACACACACACACACACACACACACACACACACACACACACACACACACACACAGTTTTAATTCAGATGGTTAAATAACAGACTGAGTAGACGGACTCTTTAGTCCAGAATGAAACACATCAAACTGTTTGTCGTGTTTCACTTTAAATATTCAGGCTCTAAACGCTGATATTTCCTCGACGACACGAGTTTCCACATGAACAATGAAAATACGACTTTATAAAACAGGAAGGATTTATAATCTCAGGGGAACAACAGTGGCGTGTTTGCAGGGCCTGATCTACTGAAGGTTTGCGTTTGTGCAACAACACGTGCAAACTTGATAGCGCACACAAACCTGATCTACTAACCCGGTGCACCAGGATTGCGTCTGTCTGCACAATCGATTTAGCGTGTTTGCCTTCATGAATATGCAGAACGTTTGTAGATCATCAGAACGCGCAAAATTCTGGGAGGAGCAGATGCAAATGAAATCATTCAGCACCCGCACTGATTTATCAAACCTGGACACTGATTGGGGTCGCTGTTTTGCGTTTATATTTAGCACGTTTTAAAGGCAGGTGCAGACTGACACAGCGTTACGCTCGGTCATTGTGGGGAGAAGGAGGCAGGAGTGTCATGATACACGCCATGATCCTTGTCCAAAAGCTTGTGATTTATTTCGTTTTTCTGGTAAATTACGATTTTCATAAATAATAAGCAAACATGGAACAGATGAAAACATGTATCTGTTCATCTTTAATCCCTTTTTTGATTTCTAGTTTATCTTCTTGTCTCTGTAAAACACTTTGAATTGTCTTGTGTATGAATTGTGCTGAACAAATAAACTTGACTTACCTTTTATGCAGGCACGTGAAAAATTTGCCTCCGAATATTTCATAATTTCACGTCCTATATCCTCGTCGGCCCCGGTGTGTGAGGACCTTTAGTCATGGTCAGAAAACACAAACAATTCACTTTAAAACTCGACATGTTGTTTCCTGCCACATGCAGACGCTCACATCTGAACCTGAGGACTTCAGATAAGCCTGGTCTCTTGTTTTGAATAGATTTGGTTCATTCTAGTATTTGTAGATCTATGCTCTCCCCGTACAAAAATACTTTTTTTTTTTCATTTTGACTACGACGTTTTTATTTTACGACATTAAAAACATTATTTTAATAATAATAATAATAATACATTTTATTTGAAGCGCCTTTCACGTCACTCAAGGACACTTTACAGAACATATAAAAACAATAATAAAACACTATTAACAATTAAAATCATTAATCATCAAACAGTTAAAATCAACAAAGCAACATTAAACATGAACAACAGCAAAGGAATAAATTTTAGTCCAGAATAAGGAGTCAGTTTATACCCAAAATTACTTTACTCAACATAAACAGTGATTTTTTCCGGACCTGAGTTTCTTTGAACCCGGTCCAGTCCGGTGACGATCGGTCCAGTCCGGTGAGGATCGGTCCAGTCCGAGGTCAGTGTGAACATTCACGGTTTAACAAACACATCGGGTTTCTGAACGCCGAGCTCTTGAACTTATCAGACGGCGTACCCGTTAATTGAAAAATGAGTGCCCTTCTGATTGTGTTATTGTGTCCTGCTAAATATGCACCACCTCCTCCATATCAGACTCTATTATGAAGCAGAGCTGCAGGATAATCGGGGCTGTGCCGGTGTCTCCATCCTCCTTTGTCCAGATCGTCCTTAAAGGATCCACGTCTCAGTATTTGCACCAGTTTCCCCCTGCAGACATTTAATGTGCGTCTCTGCAGGCTTCTGCCTCAGAGGACTGAAATCTCATTTATTTATAACCATTTGACTGAAATGGAGAGATCTACTTATCTCTGAAGTACAAGCTTTATGACAGAAAAGCAATATTTGTGCAATATGCACTCGACAAACTCAGCATGCACATGTACGGTAAGATAATAAGAGCTGAAGAGGTGCAGCGGGGGCAAACATTTCCCTTCAAACACCGTGAAGTCAGATCAGAGACAGAGGAAAGTAAAAGTCCATCAGTCTTAATATCCGAGCAGCAGGAGCACAGCACCAAACCCCATTTAAAACCGGCACTAAATAAAGCCGCCGCAGCCCCTCGCTGAGTCTGACACAGTTTCATCAGGTTCACATTAGATGAAACTTTATTGATCCCCGCAGGGAGACGGTGTCAGTGCAGCAGGATGAAAAAAAAAAACTGAAATTGAATATAATTAGAAATATGTTAAAAGACGGGCAGAGAGTGAACTGTTTAGGACAAAGACAGGAAGGGACAAAAACACAAATTCAGAGGGACAGAGGAGGCAGTCAGAGCGTCTCAGAGCTCATCATTCACGCTAAAGCAAAGAAACATCAGAACAAAAGGAGAGAGTCATAAAACAGCAGGTAGGAAAGGTGGAAAGAATCCGTTTACAGAGCAGGAGCGATGAAGAGCAACTTCAGTTTAACAGATCATGAAAAAATCAGACGCAGATTCATCTGAGAGGACATGAGGCTGCTGCAGGAATCAAACTCTACCTTTATTCTTATATATATTATAAATAAGTGGAGTACATATGAAGTGATCTGTTTTTGGACCACTCCTCATAGACCTGAACACTATAATGATATTACAGGAGGTAATAGACTTCAGTGTTTCTCCATGAGGGATCTCTCTCTGATGTTTAGACCTCTGTATCTCTGCCTTAACTATCTCGGAGTGTATTAGATCGCTGAGTGCAACGTTGCAAATCAATGAGCAGGACCACTCTCTCACAATATTGGATTTTTATATGCTTTTGAGATAAATATGGAGGGGGAGCGACCGCCATGAAGAGGAGGAGAGGGGGAGGCACTGCAGCTCTGAGTCGAACCGTAAAGATCATGAGTGTTTTTGTTTTAATTTTAATGTTTACTTTTGTCTAAATGACAAATTCATCATCAAATATAATAAAGTCTGCAGCGTAAAGATGGATGGAGGAAACCAAAGGAGGCCCGTTTATACCCGCTGAAATAACCTTAAAGGGACATTTCAGTGTTTTTGAGGGGAGTTTGGATGAGTTGTCACCACACGATTGAAGGTATGGTGAAGTTTTCTGCAGGTTTTAGCTGACTTTGAGAGACCCTGACCTTAGCACTCATCTTAGTTTAAGTGAAAAATCTTTTAAGTTCACTTTACTACCAGAAAATCAACAATCAACGAGACAAGATGTCACCAAAGTGATGAAAACACCTTTAAGGAAGTCAACGCACTGAATAAAAACATAAAGAAACTTCGGTAACAATTTACATGAATCCTATAATGCAATATAAGTATATGTATAATGTGTTATAATCACATTATAGCACTTTGTATAACTATAGTTATAAACACTCATAAATGATTATAATGCTTCATAGCAATAACACATTATAAATTATTTTATCATGACTTACAAGGTCAGGTATTATAATGTGTTATAACTGTTAACAACTCACTGACAATGCCTACATAGATAATACATAATACATATATTTATGATGTGTTATAATTAACTTATAAACTTGTATAATTATCATTATAAACAGTCATTAATTATCATAAGGCTTTATAAAAATAAACATAACACGTTATAATACCTGGTAAGTCATGATAAAATGATTTATAATGTGTTATGATTATTGATATGAAGCATTATGATCATTTATGAGTGTTTATAACTATAGTTATACAATACGATAACGTGATTATAACACATCATACATATATTTATAATGCGTTGTAGAGATAGGCTTCAAGTAAAATGTTACTGAAACTTCTATGTGATCTGGGGAGGACGAGAGATCTCGGGTCACCTGCTGGTTGAGGTTTGAGAAAACATCTGGACCGACCCGGGTCCGAGTAAACAGCAGAGTCAGTCATAAGCAACTTCAAAAACAGTGAAATGTCCCTTTAAAGAGGGAGGACTGGATTTTTGACCACTCTGACTTCGTTTGGGTCGAGTCTGTAAAAACACTAAATCCTACATTAACCATGATGCAACAGTTTGAAACACAGACTTTCTTCACGCCCAGAGTTCTGTCTGCAGGCTTCTATTGAACTCCTAAAACCTACAAACTATTTTTACGTGACGAATCAGAAACAATCAACAATTTTTCTGGAGCATTTCCTTAAAAAAAATAAAAACTCGGGGATCTAAAACCCGGTCTTCCTGTTTGGTTTTAGTCTCAGGTTTTGGTATTTTGCCCACTCTCTCCTCACATCAGGCGTTCTGTTTCTGTATCATCAGCCCTGCGTAGAAAATAAGAGAAGCGAACGTCTCTACATTGATTTGCTCAGCGGATGGCGAGCATATATTCATGCGTGTTACACACACACCTCCTCACGCCTCCGTC